TCGAATCTATCTCTACCATTCTTGACTCTGATGATGCTAGTCTAAGATGGCGAACCATGGTTAGATTGAGCGGGCAGAAGAACCTTCCCCAGTCGACTCTTGATCGGATGGCAAAGTTTCTGTGCAGGTCAGAAGAGACACGTGCCGCAAGAGAAAGGGTTCTCGACGTCCTGACAGCTGAGTCTTACTGGGAGAAGTACCTGACTTTGAAGGCAACACAGGGTCAAGACGGTGAGAAACGAAGTGACGATTTGGATCTTGTGCAGACTGGTCTGAGGCTCATAGAGTACGAAGACCCAGAGGATGTTGGTATTACAACCTTGGCACTTGGTTACCAAAACCAAAAGCTTCCAAGAAAGGCTATCAACAAGATCTTGACGAACCTTTTGCGAGATGATGTAGTTATCAAGCTGGCTTCCTTGGATGCACTAGCCAGGCAGGCGAATCTTGAGATTGAAGATCTAAGAGCCGTTTCTGATCATCTCGATAACCCAAACCATGCAGTTCAGCTTGCTGCCGTCAAAGCACTCGAGGGGCGAAGCCAGCTATCCCCGATGGAAGATACGCTGTGCTCCCTTGTCAAGTTTTTGAGGGTCGGGTCTTTGGACATTGACTCAGAATTACGACTCATAGCGGAAAGGATCTTGCGATGCCAGAAGTTCCTACCCGAGAGAGTGATGGAACTTATGATATCCTGTTTCAACGATGAGACTACTACTCCAAAAGGGAGCCAGAAGCCTCTATTCATTCCTGGAGGGTTTTCAGATGTTATGCCGCCGTTCCCAGAAGTGGTACTCAACAAAGTCATCCCGTATCTTCGATCTGAATATCAAAAGATCCGGCGGGGAGCGCTATTGTTGTTCGATGGTCAATCAAAGCTTTCCGAGACTGTGTTACGAGCAATTATCGAGTGTCTGGTGGACGATTACGAGCCCATCCGTCGACAAGCGATGAAGACCTTGGAGAGTCATCGACTGGATCTAAATGAACAGCTTCACTCGGCTATAGACCACCATCTGGATGTCAAAGATGGAACCAAAAGAGACCTGGTTTTCCAGACCGTTTACAGAACAGCTGGTTGTCCGGAGGCTCTGTGGCAAGCTATTGATAAGGCTCTACATGATGAGAATGATCTCATACGACTCAATGCTCTTACATATTGGATCTATCATCCCGATATTCCCGGCAATCTTCATGAAGCTGTGGCAGCCTGTTGCGAGGCTCTAACACAAAGACACGCTAACGGAAAGCAAGGCATGATCAAGATGCTTACTCGTGAGACCAAGAGATTCCTTCCTGACACGAGAACACTTTATGCCCTCGCAGAATTTCTTAACGATGACGACGTGAACATCCGGCGAGATACAGTCAGTTATCTATCTCGGCATCCAAACGTACCCCCCAAGATAACCGCCCAGATCGCCACCAAGATCTCAGCGTTTCCAGATGATATCTTTCAGTACACCTCATCAATGACTATTCTCCTACAACATAACGACGCTTATGGAGCGACGTTGGCGAGAGCAAAAGTAGACGAGCAGCTCAAGTTTCTTGTCGAGAGATCTGACATGATGCATATCGCGTGGTATATAAAAGATGGGCAGAGCCTGATTGAGACGGGTAGTGGAGTGATGTGTAAAGAGTTGGAGAATCCAAGGGCCTTTTTGAGTGCGGTTGAGAAGGCGAGAAAGACGGCGGAGATGCCTGATGTCGTGGTGAGGGTGCCGTGGCAATGGATGGGCTTTGAGTGGTGACTTTTCGAGGGAGTCCGCTAGCTTACCTTGGGTTGACTTGTCTACACTTTTGTGGCTTGAGTTTGGGGTCCTAAGATTAAAGGATCTATAAGGGTTTCATGTATCATGAGATTCGCGAGGGGTTTTTGTGACGATTTACCAGGGTTGGTTATAGACCTACATAGATTTCAGTTCTTGACTATTTACCCAGCACGTGTATTCGGTATCGACCTTTTTTTTAAAAAAAAAAAAAAAAAGAAAAAAAAAGAAAAAAAGAAAAAAATATTCCGCTCTTATTGCCCAACCATTTCCCCCGTTATCGATATCGTAGGTCTAATTTTGGAAGCGATGCTTAGCCCCCAGGATCGCTGTGCTGCGCCAATGCACTCAGCCCTGTCAGGCCTCGTAGAGCATCCGCAGCCTCTTACTGGCTGTTTAGCGACAATCGAGCAAGGGTATATGCTGACATTCTGGTTCCCTCTTCTCGACATCAGCTTTAATAACTCAAGCTCACTCGTGAGACTTGGCGGGATGCATATCCTATCAGTTCAAACCATTCTGAAGCAAAATGGCATCTGAAATGAAAACATGTTTTGTTGAGCGCAAAGACGCCATTCAGGTCCACGATCACTGTCCTGAACGGCCTTATGTTGAGTTGGAAGTGCCGCAAGATGCGAAGAGAGTCACTGCCGTTACTTTTGGAGGAACATCTCGCGATCAAGGTCAGTGGATTGGCCTGTTATCATCATTAGGTGTAACTGACATGTCATGAAGGCTGGGCAGACAGATCAGAAGCAGTTTCTTTCACATGGTGGGACGCTTCAGTAAAGCGGCCTGAAGGACGTGGAGATTTGCGAACAATCACAGTCCTTAACAACCGCCTGGCAAATGATGAGCCTCAGCAATGGTCTGACCGATGGACTGTTTTCCATGGCCCTAGACGAAGACTCTGGATTGAGGCACTTCGACCAGGCGATGTCATTCAGTTGATTCCTCGCGCTATGTATATGGCTTGGGTAAACATCATCGACGAGGGAAGCATCAAGATTGAATACGAACCCAAGGAGTTGGAAGAAGAACTTCAAGCCCTACAGCTTACCTCAAATGCTTCGCATTATTCTGGGGCGTTGAGTGTCGAAAAGCAGGACATTCGGCTACTTCATGTTGAGCCAGGGACTTTTGACGATCCGATCCGATGTTCTTTTCGCTTAGCAAGCCTGAAGGAAGTCGAGGCAAAAGGCATCGACTTTCACGCCTTGTCGTATTGCTGGGGAGATCCTACCGGGCGGGAGGAAATTCTTTTATCGAAAGAAGGCGACTGCGACAATGGAAAGGAAGCCATGCCCTTTAGTATTGGAAAGTCTGCTGCCCAAGCACTGCGTCGGTTGAGACTAGAAAGGGAAACCCTGGTCATATGGATCGACGCCGTGTGCATCAACCAAGACGATCTCGAAGAAAGAGCGAAACAGGTTACACTCATGAGTCAGATCTACTCCTTGGCTTCGGTCGTTCACATCTGGCTCGGTGAAGATAACCACGGCGTCGAGGCTTGCTTAAAACTTATCCGAGATATCTGCAACTCAAACTCCGGACTATGCCAAGGCGGCGAGCAATGTTCATGCGCTGGAACAGCCCACTCGACGCCTCTTGAGGAGATTCGGGCGTATGAGCAGAGCAAGAAAGATGAGGGAAAGGCTATCTCATTCAAGGGGATGTTGGAAGTTTTCGACATACACCTAAAGGCATGGACAAGGGAGATTATCGATCTTGCTGGCTGGTATGGAAACACCCAACTATCGTTTCTCATGAGCACTCTTTACGAAAACCCATGGTTTACCCGAGTCTGGGTGATACAGGAAGCTCTGTCAGCGAAACAACCCTTCATCCACTGCTCGGGAGAGCAAGTCCCATGGGAAGAAGTGGTACAAGTCAGCAATTGGCTTGAGAACCCTGGATACTCCAGCCAAAACCCCCATATTGTCTCTCAGCAGATTTCCATGGCAGCTATTTGGAAGACTCTCAAACCAAAGGGCAAGACTACGGAGGTCCCGACAACTCTGATCGAAGCGCAAGATACGAATGAGTTGTCTAGCATTCTGGAAGTATTTCTTTCAGGTCTAGATCTCAAGGCGACTGATCCTCGCGATAAACTGTTTGCTTTGCTCACATTTGCCAACGAGACGCATGACACTACGAAGTTGGATGATTTGATTCGACCCAACTACGACAAGTCAAAGGAGAGAGTGTTTGCTGATTTTACACGCTGGTGGATCAGGGAACACAACTCGGTGGCTATTTTGTCGTCTATCCACTGTCAACCATCACGCACTTGGGTAAAGATTCAAGGACCTGAAGCCCAAGACCTAGTGACGAACCGACCAACGTGGTCTGTTGACAGCAAAGGAAGCTCAAGACGGATTCAAGCAAACTTGAATGCCCGCTTCAAATTCAAAGCAGCAGGCGATACGAAGCCGGATCTTGAGCTTCTAAAGACGGAAGATCCCCTTGTTCTTCGACTTTCAGGACTTCACATTACTGAGATCAGGAGCATCAGCCACGCGCCTATCGAGTATATCTACCCTTACCAAAAGCCTGTGGAAGAGCAAAGCGAATTATCCCAAGTATTCGATAAAATCTTCGATCCCTGTGCTCTGTCACCGTTCTGGTCAAGAAACCTGACTGCAGATGGCTTCAGAACAGAAAGTAACGAGACATGCAACATGAAGTACCTCGACCATATGCGATCCCACTGGAACTACCGTTCGCGAGAACCACTTGAAGTGTTGAAACCAAGTGCTGGTAAAGAGTTAGAGCACTATAAGACGAATAAACTTCCGACGTGTATGGAACCTTGTTTCTTTGTTACGACTTCGGGGTTGTTTGGATTATGTCCTTGGCAGTCGAAGGAGGGAGACTTGATTGTGTTGTTGGATGGAGGGAATGTACCGTATTTGCTGAGGCCTGTTGGGGAGGAGAAGTTTGAGTTGGTTGGGGAGTGTTTTGTCCAGGGGATTATGCATGGAGAGATATTGGAGGGCCTGGCGAAGCTTGGGAACGGGCTTGGGAAGCGGCAAGTTTTCAGTATTGTTTGAGGGTCCATTTTGAGCAAGCAAGAGTTCGCAAATCAACTATTATTTCAAATTCGAGACTTTGATTCTGGAATGCAGGTAGCATAGGTGAAGGTTTAATCAGAAAATTAATCTCGAACGCTATGGATAATGGAGTCACTATACAAAAGATTCTACCACCACAAAGAAAACACAACCCTCACGATCTCAAGTACCTATAGCCATAATATCCCAGAATACTCGTCGAAGTTACAGCCGTCGTCAAGATAAACACCAAACTCGTCACGATGCCCTGCTCAAAGAAACCAAGCTGCGTTCCCTTGAGCTTCCGCTTCATCTCAGGCAGTCTCTTTGTAGCCTCTTGATCCAGCGCACTTAGCTCTCTAGTTGAAGTTGTATTGACAATCTTGTCCAGTTTGCTGTCAGTGGCGGACTTGGTGAGATACTTTGGCTTTAGGCGGGAGAAGAGATCTTGGTGGTAGATGTTGTTGGTCCCAGATTGGGGAGGGATGCCGGATGGTGCGGTTGGAGAATCTGGGCTGTTAGCGTTGATTTGTATGGAAATGTGGTTGGGACTTACAGAGGAGTTTGGTGGGGATGTGGTTGACGAAACTGACGGCTGTATCCACGAATTGGCATAGATACTTGGCCATGGCGGGATTGGTGAAGATATAAGCAGCGGCTAGAGACCCAATACTAGAAAAGTCAGAAATAGTCAACCACATAGAGCTCTTACACTTACTCCCTTGAAGTATCAATAGCATCGTCCATACTCGTAACAGCATGCACAATAAGCGTCGTCTCATCAACCTTTTGGTTAAGCAAATTCGATTCCCTGCTCTCAACATCGAGAATCACTCCATTCGACCCAGAAAGCACAACATGCACAGAATCATCCTTCTCAACCTCTTTCGACAGCGCTGATTTAGGCGCTTTAGTCTTGTTCGGTGAATTAGCCAAGAACTCAGTGCTCTGCTGCACGAGAGCGCGTAGCAAATCCTTCTTGACCCATTCGTTGACGAGAACGACGTCAGGGGCGTAGGGGGCTTTGCCTTGCAGGCTGAAACGTGCTGATACGAGAGCTTTGGCGGCTGCTTGGATATCTGCGTCTCGCTCCACGAATGCTACGACTGGTGCTTCGGGGTCTGATACGAGATGGTCCTTGAGGATTGGGCCGTCTGAGCCGTTTTGAGAGACGCGGATGTGAGGAAGGCTGATGTCTTGTGCTGTGACTTCTTGGTTTGAGACTGTGAAGATATCTCTATCCAGGGACTTGGCAATCAGATCTAGCACGATTTTTGGTGTTTCGCGTAGTGAGTTTTGAGCCTATACTCATTAGTACTCATTTTATCTTATAACAATCAGATGGAACTTACCTGCACAATAATACAGTTTCCTGCCGCAAGAGCTGGCGCTAACGCCGCGATCAATCCATAAAAGAACGCATGATACGCAGGCTCAATGACAACAATACCAATTGGTTCTCGACAAGTAGCATCGTCATGACCCTTCGTAACAGCATACTCATCCTCAGTTGCTTTAACTGGATCAAGCGACTCATGCGCTTCGGCAATGGCCTGCAAAGCAAGCCAATACTCAACCTTTACCTCAGCAGGCTGATGCTTTGTGTCTTTCGCAATAGCATCTTGAATCTGCACAGCTTTATCAGCCAACGCAGTATGAATATTCCGCAATTGATCTTTTCGGTAGAACGGGTTGTGAAGACGCCCGTCGATGGCTGCTGATCTAATTGCTGCGAGTGATTTCGACATTGTGAATAGTGAGAATGATTGGGCACTAAGCTTGTGTTGGATATTGGAGATGTATTGAGATACTTGAGGACCCCTATTTTGTTATGCTAAGAGCTCGAGGGTCAGAGGGACAAGTTGGGGTTGACCCCGGGGACCCCGGATTCTCCGTCGGTTCGGGTGAGGGCGCCTCGGGGTAGCGCTCCTCCACATCCCGAGGTGGAGGTCTCATCAAACGGTAATGCCCCGAATCACCCGGTAGAGTTTGGACGGCAAATGAGAATATGCAACGTCAGTAACTTGACCAATACAGCACGTCTATCAATTCTCGAATTCATCACTCAAACCTGACATCAACATCGCATTCTTCAACATGTCGACCACTACAGTAACTCACACCCAAAACGGCGATTTTCACAGCTCCATCCTCCGCGATTATGAGCTTCACCATTCTCAAGCCCGCGAGGAATCGCCTGATTGTCGAACTTCACCTGTGACGTCTGCAGAGCACCCGGAGTTTGATCTACCGCATCGTCGTGTACCTGAGTACAGGCCGCTTAATCGAGATGCGGCGCATGTCAATGGCGTTCGCGTCTATACCAGCACGGCTGAGAGATTCTTCATCACTGCTATGTTTAGAGGTCTGAATGTCAACGCTGTAAGTAAAGAAATGGTAGTTTGTGAATATGAGCTGATTTTAGAAGAGCGCTGCTCAGTATTGGAGGGCGTCGATTGGGAGGTTTACGGATAAGGTTTGGAAGTATCAGATTGGAGGAGAGTTTTAGATCTGTAGTTATTACGTGAGGGTCGGAGTTTACTATTGAATTTCTTGTTATTGAATCATATATCAGATCTATCGATTATTTCATTTTTTTCAGTCTAAAGTTGTTATATCCTTCTTACACTGCAATTTCTCCTGTAAGAGACAACTGAAGCATGCACACGGAGATCATTCGGATACCGTTTTATACATGGCCCTATTATTTAGACATATATAAAGCTCCATCTAACTTCAAAGTGTTCTCAGAAAGCAACAAAGACTCTCTCAATCTTTTACTGTCTTGATTTACGTATGGCATCGCACTTAATAGAGGGATGCCAAGCATGTGACCAAGACAAACATCATGATTGTATTAACTGTCGTTCTCACGAGAAAATCAAATCTATCTACTCGGAAGCCTTGACACCCTCCATATTTCCATAGTCCTCACCCAACTCCTTACCCCCAACATCAGGCTTCGTCGACGGCAAAAGCACATACAACATCCTCGCCCACTCCGTCTCACTAGTATTCCTCCACGCATGCATAGTCGCCCTCTGCACACAGACATCACCCCTCTTCAAGACCTTCGTATCCCCCGAATCCAGAATAAGCTCAACCTCGCCCTCCAGCACAACACCGTAGTCAAGACTCACAGTGCGGTGCATAGGTGAGACGTGGCCTGGGCACATATCGACATAGCGGAGGACAGTGCCCGTTGAGATGCTGAGCCCTGGTTGGCTGTTTAGGAAGCCTTGGTAGGAGTTTATGTCGGCGTTGTTCGTGAGCTTGGCTGGGAATTCTTTTGTGGCGTAGCCTAGCGCGAAGTGTGCTTTGCCGTCGGGGAGGGCGTAGAAGGGTGCATCTGAGTTGATTGATGTGTCGATTATGGCTTTGCCCTCATCGTTGTGTGTTGTGATGATGCGTTGAGTTTGTCTGAGTTTGCCGTTGAGAGCCATTGTGAAGACTTGTAGTTGACGAATTTAGTATATGGTGGTGACGGCAAATAATTGGCTCTCTAAGTTATTTACTGAAATAGTCTATGAAAGCGTTGTATTCTATTTCTTCTCACCATTTTATGTTAAGTGCCGGATATACGACTCCATTTCTCATACATATCCGGAGCCATACCCCTCGATTTACTCGTCGGGATGTGGAGGACCCTGGACCCAGATCAACCGATGCCGATCGTCCACTCAACCTTTCGCGGGTTCGGCATGAAGTCCTCGGGATAAAATAGTTTAATGATTGATAATACAGGACTAGAATTGAATTGAATGGAACTGTCACTTTTGTCATCTGAACTGCAACGATTTGAATGAATTCATGATTATCCACCGATTCAGAGAAACAAACACGATGGCAGCCACAGACTTTGCTCACCACTTCACTGAGAAGAACATTCCTTTCGGAATAGCTTCCTCTCAGTCCCACAAGACTCCTCAAGCTGTTACTAGACTTGGAAACACTGTGATATTCCTGAATGATCTCGTCGGACAATTATTCAAGGATGTTGAAGGCCTTTCTCAAGGTGTATTTAGCGAGGAGACTCTAAATTCTTTTGCTACTCTCCCCAAGACTGTGCATCAGAATGTCCGAAAGCAAATCCAGCAAGCTCATCAACACAACGGCCTCGATGGTTTTCCTACGAGCAGCAAAGAAGATATCACTGCTGTGACGATGCATTTGCCAGTTGAAATCAAAGACTTTGCCGGTATGAATGACATCTCTGCCCTTCTGAATCAAAACTAATTTTCAAACAGACTTCTCGTGCTCTCTTGATCACGTCATAAATGCAGGGCGTATAGTAGTCAACAACGGAACGCCACCACCTGGTTTTTTCAAGTTTCCAGTTGGATATCAAGGCCGGACCGGTTCCATCGTTGTTTCAGGAACGGACATTGAGCGTCCTTATGGACAGTTCAAGAGCCCTACTGCAGCTGAAGGCGACGATCCTATTACTTATGCACCGTCTCAGAAGGTTGACTATGAGGTTGAACTTGCTGCAGTGGTTGGAAAACCGTTGGCTATGAGGCAGAGACTTCATGCTAAGGATGCTGAGGAGCATATTTTTGGTTTTGTGATTCTCAACGATTGGAGTGGTAAGTACTTAGTCCTCTCTTAAAATCAAACAACTAACAGATTTAGCTCGTGATATTCAAGGTTTTGAAATGTTTCCTCTCGGCCCTTTCAATGGCAAGAGTCTAGGAACTTCCATCTCTCCCTGGATAATCACCCTCGATGCTCTAGAACCCTTCAGAACCAAGGCCCAAGAGCAGAAAGCCATATCGGCCTCATACCTCCAGCATCTTAACCCCTCAACATTCTCAATCACCTTGCAAGTTGACGTCCTGGCAAACAACACGTCCACAAGACTTGGCGTTTGTCCAGTCGAGTCTCTATACTGGACTCCTCAGCAAATGGTTGCGCATTCAGTCAGTTCGGGTAGTGCTCTTAGGACCGGCGATCTTCTGGCCACGGGCACTGTTTCTGGTTCTGAGGAGACGAGCCGAGGTTGTATGCTTGAGTCTACAGAGGGTGGTACCAAGCCTGTTACGTTGAGCGATGGGTCGAAGAGAGGATTTCTTGAGGATGGTGATGTTGTGAGGATAACAGGATCTGTCGGTGGAGATGAGTCGGGTGTTGGATTTGGTGAATGTACTGGCAAGCTTACCCCAGCTCGGCCGTATTGAGCCCATATGTTATAGAATCATCATTTATACAGGATATAAAGTCTTATATCGTTTAAAGTACCTTAATGGTTCCGTCGTATTCTTCCAAATGACTGCTGACTATAGCCATAAACACCTATTCTTAATGTGCGATCCGGGCCCCTATCAAGTTGCTCAGTTAAGACTTGTGGCTGAGAGCTCATATCAGCAGAGAGAACTTAGTGACATAACTCAGTGAAGAATCAAAAGGTTTCTTACTATGAAATGCTAATAAAATATACATAATAAACTTAAGCTCGCTAGTCAACCCTTCTAGCATGAGAAATATCATCCACCCCTCTTCCATACTCAACCTTACTCTTAACAACACCGTAAACAGGAATATCAGAGAACCCAGTCGCGATATGGTTCAGCGTAGGCAACGTATCCCATGTACCAGGTGTAAGATCCAAATCACCACCACTTCCAACCAGCGTCTTCTCAACCTGCCGCTTCGTCGTCTCCAGCCCATTCTCGATAAAGACAGGATACGCGGCATCAGCAACCCCAGGCTGGCCGACTGCAGGCACATATCGGTATAGTAAAAGTCCTTGTTCTTCTGGCAGAGGAGGGGCACCAGGCGGTCCAACAGATGCAGGATGGCCGTTTGTTCCGTTGGCGCCATTTGTGCCGTTGACACCATTTGCATGTCCGTTGGTAGCCTCGCCAAGACCCTCGAGTGTGATGTTGACGAACTCTGCTCCCCGCCAACTACAGCGAATACTAGTGTTGGCTCCCTTCTCCACAACATCGATATCGCAGAAGAGTTTAGGCATACCAAGCTCTTCACGACCGGTGACGATAGGATCAGCCAGGTTCTCCAGAAGAACGGCTAGGAAAGACCCATAGATCTTGCTACCGTCCTTCTTCTCGTACTGAACACCGTGAATCCAAAGACCGAAGAACTTGTAACCTCCCCCGCCAAGCCACTTCATGTCTTTCAACTCAGTGCAGGAGTATGTTGCTTCAGCGACAGTACCGGGCTTGTAGAAGCTGAACCGGTCTGTGGGGAAGAGAGTCTTGAGATATGTAGCAGAAGACTTGAAACGGACCGACCAAGTAGTGAACGAAGAGTCATTGCCGTTATATCGTTGTCCGTGGTAATCTTGTCGAGGACTGGGCATGGGGCCGAATGATACAGGAGACTTCCAGTGGAGGTTCTTGTTCTGAGACCAGAGATGATCTCTGAGAGCCTTTTTGGTGTTGTGCCACTCATCATGGCCGAAGTTGTAGTTCAGGAACTTGTAGACTAGGTGATTGTCAGTTTTGATTGTTCATGGCCGAGGATTAATTGACTTACTGTTGAACTTGGCTCGCGTCTCCTCATCAAGATCCTCGCCTGCTTGCCTGGTGAAGAGCTGCACCATGTGAGCTCTCTCATCTCTGATCTTTTCGTACAGAGAAAGGCGACTGGGGATATCGTCGGCTGTTGTGCCATAGGGGAGCAGGGCCACCAGCGATGCTGCGTCCTCAATGGCAATACCACCACCCTGTCCTTGATCTAGATTGGAGAAATCGTCAGCAATGTCGTGTCAACAAAAGGTGATGGACTT